TTTTTCAAGTGCGAAAGAAATCGAGTCAACTAGTCTATGTAATTGATGGATTGTTGAATGTTGTGTCCGAAAACCGAATTGATAGTAAGGTAGTATATTTTTTTCACTAATTGTGGGAAGTATGCGATTCAGTATAAGTTTTTCTAGCACTTTTGAGAAAAAGGTAATAGAATAATTGGTCTATATGACGTTACCAGGTCAGGGATATACAATTTAAAACGAAATTTTAATTTTATATTTTAGGGCATGCCCTGGCCCTCAAATTGTGAGGCCCCTCTTGGCTCAAAATATAAGAAATTATAATATGGGTTCTCGTTCTGTATTTAAGAAGGAATGTTTAAAAATAAAAACATTAATTTGGGAAATTCAAATAGTATGTACATTAATATATTAACGTAGTAGCATGAAGTCAAAACAAATTTTCAACTCATAATTATAAAAAAGTATACAAAACTTCAATGCATAAAGATCGTACAATATGCTCAGTTATAAGCATTGAAAGTCATGTGTTGGACAGTTTGTTATTTGATGATATTATAAACGACTTTCCAGAGAAAATATCAAGGAAAGTACCCGATTTTTATACTTTGATACTGTATATTTATATTCGTTTTTGATCAAACACTTTTTAGCCTTAAATTATTTTATATAAATTATACTAAGGTACAGCATTAATTATAGGTGTTACATTACTACATGAATTGATACAAATATAAAATTATGAACCATAAATATTTATTTATAATTAAAACTAAAAACATATTTTAGACTCGGTATTACGATATACAATTTTTAAAATGGACCATCCGGAGGCCTCAAAAATTTCCTTGCCCTGAGCCCCTTAAAGTTTAAATACCTGTACCTGTTCAATACCCGTTTATATATTTTATTATTAATTAATTTTATTGAGAATGGAAATTAATAATTTCTGCTATGCACGTATTGCCTAAAATTTTCATATCCCAGCAGTTTATACTTTTTGCATTATTACAACAGAATAACTAAAATTGTAATTTTTGATTCAAGTATCCAATGTTGACAAAGTTTGAACTTCTAAATTCCTATGTCCATAAAATAAGTTGATCATAAATGTGAATTTTCTATAGTATTACATTTTTGTAAGAGCTACTAAACTTGTATACCTACAATTTTTAAACCTAAGTAATTCAAGTTGACAATTTTATGAATTCCTAACTATACCTACAAAATAATTTGTTAATTTTGGTGTTTTAAATGTCAATATTTGAACGTCAAAGGCTTATGAATATTTTATAATTGCTGTTAGAAAACGTATTAAGAACATGTTTTAAATTGTCTTTAAGAATAATGTCAGTTATAAACACTTATAGTATAAGAACGAGCTGAACCAAAAACTAGGGTTATGTTTATAGCCATATTCATGTAGGTAAGGTGCATATTACATTATACTATTACTAAAGGGGAATACCCTTGTATACACAATTACACCTGTTGACTGAGGTTCTCTCGAGTATAAGATTTCAAAGCCTATTATATATTATAATATTATCTATGTATTATTAGTTATTGTCTACACTATTTTAAATCCATATGTTAGTTAAATAGCCACTCAATTTTTTTTTTGTATGAACACAGCACAGTTACTTATTTAAATTTCACTTATTCTAGTCCGATACTAAATTTTAGTAAAAACATTCAACCTTAAATACGGATTATAACACTTGGGCAGGTATTTTTATTTTAAATTAACATTCATCTAGGAAATAAACAGCGACGACGAAGATCTGACCTATATGTATACGCATAGGTGGAGATCGGGGAGATTGGCTTAAGGAGGCTTACCTCCCTCAAAATAGTATTAAATTCTGAGAAGATCGAAAAAAAATTGCCATGTACTTTAAAAGATAATCGTGGGAGAAACAATAAATAACAAAAATACGGATATATGCTATATTTACACAAAACTTGTTTTCGACGAAAAATTTCAAAAATGTATAGTCACCGTTTTTCTTTAAAAGTGTTTGTATTTTAAATTTTCTCCAATATACGTCAAAATAACGAATTATTTTGTAAAGGTAAAGACCGACACACGCCTCTAATCATAATCGTTAGTTCATCGTGTATAATATTATGATGCATAATTAAATTTATTTATTATTATTTATTTAAGTTTAACAAATCAATTACAGTTGCGACTCTCTCAGTCACACTCAGTTTTACGTTCTACATCTACTATACAGCAGAGAGATTTCTCCGGTTTTATTTTAGGGGATCGGTTGTGGACAGTTTTTAAGGAGTTCAAAGTAGGCAATTTTCAAATTACCCGCATACCACCGCATAGGCACAACTATAGTGTTAAAATTCTGAGGGGCTACAGCCCACCTAACAAAACTATTAATTTAGAATAACCAATAGGTGGCTTATATATAAATCAATAAGGAATATTTTTTGAGGGGCTAAGCCCCTAGTTGCACCACAGTTTGCAAATGTATGCGCAGTAAGTGATCAATAGTGTGACTGTGTGTAAAATAAACAGTGATGGAGGGCTCCCGCACGTGCCTGTACAAGTCACCACCTCGACGTCGCACACTTGAAAGGTAAACAATATATTATGCTCATTTGTATGTACTTTTTGTCCATCCTACATTTCTACCGATCGACCTAATGGGGCTAATAATGCGATAATATTTCAGAAAACTGATCTGAATCCGTTATAATGTCTACTTGAGATCGATCCGTCCACATTTTAAGATTTCTGATTTAAATTCCGAATAATCACCGTTTGAAAATTCCGATATTTCAAAAAATTCGATGTAAATTTATAATTTTTTTCGAGGTGAAATTGGGAATAGTGGACCGAGTCGGCCGATCTCAAGAAGATATGATAAGGAATTCGAATCAGTTTTAAAAAGTATTATAGGTCGATTAGTATGATGGACAAAATATTGATACATTTTGGCTAAAATAACTGCCACCGATCCCCCTTAGGTTAGTTTTCTCAATAGTTAATTGTATAATTTTTTATTTTTAAACAACACATAGTTTTTTTTTTTTTTTTTTTTTTTATTGAACTTAAGCCCGGCGACTAAGGCCATTAGCTGTTGTAGGGGTTATGAACTGTGGTAGAGGGGTAATGTTGGTATGGTAGGTTGTTTTTTTTTTTTACGATTGTTTACGGTTGTTACGGTAGGTAGCAAACACGTGTATGCGTGGCAAGGTTTTAACTACTATGAACCCCGGGTGGTCACCCATCCGGGAGCTAGTAGCTGTGGCCGTTACTTACTCCCAGTCGCATTCCGCGACTGGTAGCAGCCAACGCGCCACGCCAAGCCACCAACACATAGGTTTACAAAACTACGGAGTCAATATTTATTACTGTGTATTGAATAATATTTTACGTCCAATTTCAATACCAGAATTATATTATCTACTGATAAAATTAAGGCATAAATAACTAGCGGACTGTCTAAGCAAATAGGAGAGGCTATAGTCTACTGATAAAATAAAATAAATATTATTTTAAGGTACCTATTGACTGTATAGTGTATTGTGTTATAATATATTATACTAAATAATTAATATTACTTTAAATATTATTATTTATTAATACCTCTTTGTTTTATTTTGAATGTAATAAATAATAATCTTCTATACAGGTAAGTCTGTAGTATTTTTGTTAAAAATGTTTGTTTTGGTAAATTCGTTAGGGGTGTGGTGCCAAATCTCCCCTCTGGCTCTGTATGGCTATCGGATGTTATGCCCCCCCTAATATTTGGCAAGATTTTCATTCTCTGGACCTTCTCTTAAAAAATTATAATGGTTTATACAATATTTCGGCACCGATTAGTATCTGCACTGGCAAATATCTATAATATATAGGAACCTAAGTGTATAATCCAAACTTTTAGATTTGAACATTTCTGTGACGTGTTGGATTATGCTTACTATTCTCTTACACAGTACACGGTCTTTGCTCTTTTTACTTGTTTACATAATGTGTGTCCATACTTTCACGCGTACTATACTCGTGTAGCGTATATTATGGTACGGGAATCAAAATAATATTACAAGCGACACGCGACGAAATGACCGTAATACAATGCACGAGTATAATATTATTATAATGACTATAATAAAATGACTAATATAACAATATGACTAATACTAAATAGGAAATTGGTTCCCAAAACAGGCGTCTCCTGCAGTCCCGCGCCGACGCCAACGTGGCACAACCGTAGCGCGGTGTTCGTTTTATAGGTGGGGTGCCCACTTTCTTCGCACCGGAAAATCGTCTGCCGAGCGTGTATAATAATAGTACAACTACAATATAATGTATAGGTAGTATAGGTACGTCGTAGAGGACTGCACCTGTAGACGCTATTCCACTACCATCTTGTGAGCGCGCGGATCAGTGATCGCAATGCGTATCGACAGTATAATATTATAGCGAAGGAAATGGTCGAAATAGACGGTACCTACTGCGTTGACCGCAAACAACTTTTTTTTACATTTAACCTGTAATTACAATGTCTTGTTTATTATTACTGTATTTTATACATGGTATAACATCATAAAATCGTAACGAAATCAAAACGATCGTATACGACTGCACAGCGGCGTAAGTATACCGGGATACAAACAAAAGAAACGCACCAATTCCGGTCTGGGGGGGCACTGGATAACCTTGGCGGCGTCGCGGTCGCGGACGCTACACCTGGTCGCTCTCGCACGCACGCAACACTGGACGGCGTCGACGTTAAGAAGCGTAGGACGATCGCCGCGGTTGTCCGTAAAATTTAGCAGTCAGCAGTTGAGTACCCGATGGGAACAGATCGACGGACGCTAATCGTGTGGGTTCAACCTCCGGTGTAGACAGCCGCAGATCGTAATATCATTATTGTCGTTTTCGGCTGCAGCTGCACACAGCTATAAACCGCGTCGTAAGCACAAAAATATTATAAAAAAATCGCCGCAGTACCTGTCTGTAACATACCTTTTTTTTGGACTCGCGCGAAGTCAAAATGTTCAGCGGTAAATGCACGAGTGCCGCCAGATTGGACGGCAAGACCGCCATCGTTACCGGTTCGAACACGGGCATCGGCAAAGTCACGGCCAAAGAATTCTACAGAATCGGTATGAAAAACAATGATATTGTGTTGTGCTTTGTCAATCGTCACAAATCGTAATAATAATATTATAATTATTACGGTAAATCGCAATACCCATGTCCCTCCACCCCTGCCCATCGTTCACACCCCGGTGACGATATTGACCGCCGACTGTAACTCGAATTACTCGCGAGTGCCCGAGTTTGATGTGTTATTTTATTATATATCGACACACCCCACGCGATTACTGGTAATATCTGCAAATTCGTTACGCAATTTTTTTCTCTTGCCGTTTCGCGGACCTTTGGGTCTGATAAACCGACCGCACTCGCAGGAATTTCGTGTGGTGTGCGAGCGATTTATTATGTGATATTGATTTTTCGAGGGCGATTTCCAGAGAATATAATATTAATATGATATACGTGTATAATAATTCAGACATAACACTAACAACACGAATATAATAATATTCGATACCGAAATAAAATCGCATACAAGCCCTTAGGGACCGCCGGACGTTTGTATATTGCAATTTATTCTCCCCTATATACACAAGGGGGTGACGTTGCCACAGCACACGATTCTCGGACCAGAGAACATTATATATTCAGATATTCTAATAATATCCTATTCAGCGATTTAATTTGTGTATTTAATTTCAAATTAAATATTATGATTTATAACGAAACGAATAAACAATATTCAGTCTTCATACGATTTATTCCTCTTTTGAATAGCACCGTAAAAATAATGTAATATACCTAATTCGTTTGCAATTAATTTAAATAATAAATTATATATAGATACTATCAGGATTTCCCACCTGTAAATAAATATTAATGTATAATAATGCAGATAAACTATAGTAAACAAAATTCAAGAGTGAATACAAGTGGGTGGGAGTGGTTCCTCCCCCCCCCCCTGAAAAAGGGATTAATGTTGGTACTATTAATCATAAATTATTAAACTTTTTTAAGTCTAAATTTGATTCAAATAGTTACATCAGTATCGAAAGTATCTACAAGTTACAACACTTCATTATTACCTATATTATGATAATTATTATTTATTTTACATCATACATCATCTATTTATGTCAAACCACGATAAAAACGATATTATTTTTCGGATTGTTTTATTTAGAATTCAGTACATTTCTTATCAGTTATCGCACTGACTGGAATAAGAGGAATATTAGGTACCTAATTATGAACACGGCCATTCAACGAGAAAATTAGATTTTTATTTTTTGAGTATTAGTATTGGAAATAAAAAATAATTGTCTTTAATTTAATTTTTGGTCGTTATTGGTAATCATTTATGAATCCGGAATCATTGAAAAGTGTTTATTAAACTATTTAATATATCATTTATAATTGCTTATAATATGTATTATTAATTACTTATAGACTACCTATAACCACTTCAATGAAAAGTGTACCTACCTACCGACTTTTTTAAAAGGTTGGTTGAACATTATAAAGAAATATTTATCGTAATTCGTAGGTATAGAAATATGACATTAATCCTACATTTGAGTATTTGTCATATGTTCATAATTTATTAGATATCTCCCCCCTCCCTCAATAAATTCTTTGGTTAGGCGCTTGACATAGTTTCACGTTCAAAACTTTAACAATTCAATTCGTACACAATATAATAAAGACTTTTCTAGCCCACCGTCGTATTTGTATAGGTACTATACCCCATTACCGTTATTGCCAAAACAGTATTATACCTTACCTATATAATATACTTTAGTTAAATATTTATAACTTACAATATCGATTTTTCTGCCTTTAATACTGACCATGTTACAATGTTATAACCCGAGAGGGATATAATAGGTTTATAGCTATTAGGTTCGAATCGAACGAAAACCATACAAATAATAATTAAATTCCCTTATATCATACGCATCAATAAGTTTTATTATTTCGTGTTAAAAACAAATCAAATTCTTGTTACAAATTACATTGATATAACTATAATTGGGGGGCCTATAACAATTTGAAACATTTCAAATAGATCCAAAATATATTTTACATCGGGAAGTGTAGGTTTGTGAAATATATTTGATCGATTGTCTATAGGTATATATTGTCATACCTATAATTTTAGAAATTCAAACAGATTTTATTTTATCAAGACCCCTTCCCAATGCTTTGTAGAACACATAATTTATTCTATTTGTATTTGTATATTAATATATATGTATAACAATAATTGCATTATAAGTTATAACGAATGCCATGGTCCCGTTATTCTGTGTGCGGTTTACACGGTGCACAGTGCGCACTGGATTATAGGTCTCATCGGCTCACCGCATCAAAATATTCGATTAGAGGTTATAGCCAAGATGAGCCTTATTTACAATCATTAAAATACATTAATTATCTGTTAAATATATAAATAAACACATTATGTATGTTTATATAATACCTAATTAATAATATTAATAATTATTTGATAACGATACTGGTTCACTAAAATTTTCTATTATAACATGAATTATAATATACCACGAATCAAAATGTTATTTTACATGCTATCAGTGGTATGCAAAGGGGGCGGGGGGGTTATATCGCCACCCCCAATTAAATCCAATTAAATCCCCTTATTTGTATATTTATAGTACTACCACTACAATGCATTTAAATGTATTATTACTTGAGTTATGACCCCCCCCCCCCATTGGAATTTCCTGGGAGCGCCACTGCTTGCAATCAACTGTATAATAAGTAATAAGTATCTAATAACCGTTTATTTTTAATATTCATAAATTTACAATGGATTTTAGTTAATATAATTTTTTTTTAGTTTCTTTTATACTTTATGGTAAATTATTTTATAATATTATAAGCCTATATACTGTATATTAAACATGTTCAGATATATAAAATATACAATCAACGAATCAACCTATTGTATGAAAATATACAATGATATAAATACTGTAAACCAATTGAAGTTATTCAAAACAAAAATTTGCTACACTTCGATAAAACCTATTTTGTATAAACTATCAAATTGATTAATGTAAACTAAAATTCCAGGTGCTAAGGTTATTGTGGCATGCAGGGACGTTAAAAAAGCGGAACAAGCTGTGACGGAAATAGTGGCGGACGTAAAGGGCGATAATCTAGGACAACTGGTCGTAGAGGAATTGGATTTGGCGTCTTTCGCTTCGATTAAACGCTGTGCAAAAAGCATTTTGCAAAAAGAAAAACATATTCATCTGTTAGTGAACAATGCCGGTCAGTGTGTATGTGAGAATAGCTTTATAAGGGCCTATTGTAACGTAAGATATTGTAGGGGTAATGGCGTGCCCAAAGGGTAAAACCCAAGACGGTTTTGAAACCCAATTTGGAGTGAATCACTTGGGACACTTTCTATTCACATCGCTACTATTGCCAAGAATCCGAAATTCAACGCCAGCTCGCATCGTTAACGTTTCATCGATGGCTCACACAAGTTAGTTTCTACGACTAATAAAAATATTGACATAGATACCTACTGAATGATTGTTAAGTATTAAACGCTCAAATAATTAATGTTTTTGAAAAAAAAATTGTTTACATAATTTGAAAGTATATATTCTATTATTGATAACATCAATAATTTTGAAGTCATTATAAAATAATATTTTTGAAAACATTAATACTTTTCGAGATGATGAGTGTTCACTGTTAAATTAATCACTCTGTATAATAATATAATATATGTAATATATATGTATTATAATATTATAGCTTATATAAGTAATTTAATACATACATTATCTAAATTGTTATTATTTTCTTCTCTATGTAGGAGGTGTGATTAATTTTGATGACATAAACTCCGATACAAATTACTCGGCCATGGTAGCTTACGGTCAAAGTAAACTTGCCAATGTGCTGTTTTCTAAGGAACTGGCACAAAGGCTTGAAGGTAAAATGCATACAATTATTAGATTTATATCCCGGACAAACGGACGCAATAATAATAATAATATTACTGACACGTATTTAGGTTCCGGAGTACACGTGTACAGTCTACATCCTGGCCTTGTACTCACTGAATTAGGTAGAACTATCGACCAAGTATACTTTCCGGGAATGCGATTCCTGGCTCGTTTCATCCTCTATCCATGGATGAAAACTCCGGAACAAGGAGCTCAGACTACTTTGCATTGTTCGATAGATGAAAAAGCTGGAGAAGAAAACGGTCTCTATTACAGGTTTGATATTTGTCTGATACTCTGCAGATTTGTATACGTCTTATCAATACATTTAAAAATAAAATATATAATAATATGTTCTGTTACTTTTTAGTGATTGTAAGGTGAAAGAACCGTCCGCGGCAGCCAAAGACCCAGAATTGGCCAAAAAACTTTGGGAAAAAAGTATAGAGATGGCAGGTTTGAAGGATTACGACATGTTCAACTGCGATGACACGCTGCCCGAACCCCTAAAAGACGTCTGAACAAATATTTCTAATTTTTATTAATCTATATATTATATTTAATTTTATATCATTTTTATTTTATTTCTACTTATAAGTTTATATACGTCATCTAATATTAGCATGAATTTGCATTTTTATAATAAATTAATTTTTCAACCACAAAATTTTGATTATTTATTCAGTTTTCGTCAAACACCTAAATTTTAGATTCTGAGCGGAGCGATGAATGTATTGGTTTTACAATGATGTGTGTTTTTATATTTTTTAATTTTTTAATTTTTAATTTTTTTTTGTGTCTGTCATCACGTTTTAGGACAGTAAAAGTGCTTGGATTTTCTTCATCAGTACCTTTTCTGATAGGAAAGTGAATCTAGTTGGTACTTTGGGGGGTCAAAAGTATAAATTTCCTAGTAGTTTTCACAAGTGCCGGGAAAAACAACATAAAAATTAAGGAAAAACGGGAATTTTTACGCAAAATTGGTTTTCCAAAAAATCGATTTTGGTTATTGGTGTAACTCTAAAACAAATGAACGTATATACATGAAATTTTCACTGGTTGTTTATATTTGCATTTTCTATACAAGATAACATTTTCAAAATATTTTGATTTATTTTGAACTGTTTAGGGACATTTTCATTTTCCATTTTTTTTAGTTTTTTTTCTACAAATTTCAATAAAATTTTATTTGTTGGTTGCAAAAGCTTGAAAATTTAATAGAAGACTCCTAATATATTGTTTCAAAGGCAGATGAAAAATATTAAAAATTCTTAGTCACAATTTTTTTTTAAAAGTATTTAAAGTTCAAAAATTGACAAAATATGGAAAAATCACGAAAATTAGCAAATTATTTTGAGTTAAGAATTCGTAAAAATTTTTCTTTTTAAATCTAAGATTTGAAAATGAAACACAAGATTCCTTATAAGATTATCTACCTTTATCAATAAAAAAATCTCTACCTGACAGTCAAATTAAATTTTTATGAACGTTTGAAATTCAAATTTTTACAACATTGGATATTCACTCGATTACTCATGTAGCGATTTCCTTATTTTGTTGCAATTCAAAAACGAACAACTGTAGATACATGAAAATTTCACTGAATGTTTAAATTAGCATTTTCTATACACCATACAATTTTGAAAATATTTTGACTCTTTTTGAGCTGTTTATGGACATTTACAGCTTTCATTTGTTTTTAGTTTTTTTTTCTATAAATATCAATAAAGTTTTATCTGTTGGGCCAAAAAGTGTAAAAATTTAATACAAGGCTCCTGATATATTGTTACAATAGCAGTTGAAAAATATTAAAAATACATATGCACGGTTTTTTTTTATAAGCATTTAAAGATCAAATTTTGACAAAATTTATCAAAATCTCCAAAATTATCAATCATTGTAATTAATAAATTATAAAATGTTCAGTTTTTATAGCTAAGGATTACAAATTCAACACAAATGTTCTCATAAATAGTTCATACTATAACCAAAAAATCTAAAAAATATATGAACACACTTATTTTTTACAGACATTTTAAATTCAAATTTGGACGAAATTACATATTAAAAAACCTAGAATAACTATTTTAGTTATTTTGTTGTGATTAAATAATATTATTCGTGGGTACTTGAAACTTCTAAAGTGTACTATTATATATCTATGATAGTATCACGGTTTTTGTTGATTTATAACGCGTTATAAGTATCCAATGGATATTGTGATATGATTAATTTGGAATTTATTATAGGTACCTATTATAGGTCAATTTTTTGTTTAATACCATAGATATGTATATAATATGTCTTATACATAGACTGACATACCGTCACCGCTCAGAATCGTTTTTCTTATACAATGATATTATATCATTGAATTAAAATTTAATACCATCCATTAAACAGTGACCCACTTGTAACCTACTGTACATCAGAGCGACACCCACTTGCCCACCTTTTTATATATAAGTTTTACGATGCACCTATTTTTAATTATATTTTTTTTGTCTTATGGCATCTATTAGAATAGTAATAAATAATAATGCTTCAATCTTCAACTTTGAGGGTAGTTCTGGTAGCCATTTAGATCTAGTTGCGGGGGAAGAAGTAAAAAATTCCCAGTTATTTTCAAAGTAATTGATGAAACGACAAAAAATTATGTTAAGACAGGAATTTTTACACAAAACTTGGTTATGTCAAAGTCAATTTTGTTTTTTTTTCTAATTAAAAAATGAATAACTGTATGAAGACTCAAATTTAAAACGTTCACCAAACATTTGTAATGGCAATTTCTATACATGAATACATAATGAGTTATTTACTATACACCTTCATAGTTCCAAAATATTTATATTAATTTTAAGCTCCCCAAAATATTACTATTTGTATTTCGTAATAGTGACTTCAATATTGCAACAGCAATATAGCATAATGGACATTATACCTCAAAATCATATATTTATGAACTATAGTAGGTATAATTAATATTTAGGTTGTATAGAAACTTTATATACTTATTGATCTAATTGGAATAATTCCTTCAAAATTATTTATTGGAACATTATGATTTATGACATTTTTATATTTTTAATTATTAAATATTCAACAGATTGCCTATAATTAAACCCTATTAATAAACATAAAACTAAGAATTCTGCAGTCCATCAGTTAAAGCGAAGCCCCGGAATATACCGTTAACCCCTTAACGGCTTTAACTAACTCTTATGTTGGATTAGGTTTTATGTATTAAACCGAAATATATTTGTATATGTATAACATACATTTATATAACTGTTTATTTTTAGAATACGTAATATTAGAAGCGATCTTTATCTAGAAAAAAAATTACAGGAAAATCACATTAATTATTTATGACTTTATGAGCGTTTGATGTTTTTCCACATTGAATGTATTCAGCCTTATATAAACTATTTCTCCTCAAATAATAATTGATATTTTGTTGTAATTCAAAAATGAAAAACCATTGTTACTTCAATTTGTACAAAATGTTTTTTGTATCATTTTCTATACATACTATAATTTTCAAAATTATTTTATATTTTTGAGCTATTTGTAGAGATTTTCAATATTTGTTCTAAAAATGTCGATAAAAAATTTTTCACTGGGTCAAAATGCTTTAAAATTGAATACAAGATTCCTCGCTAGTTGATATTACAGTAATTTAAATATAATGAAGGTACATAGGCAAGATTATTTTTAATAAGTATTTGAAGTTGAATTTGACGAAATTCGTAAAAATCTCTAACAATCGCAAATTATTTTATAGTTAAAAAAGTATACAATTTTCAATTTGTATAGCTATTCTAAGTTAATATTTTAACAAAATTAGATATTTAAACGAAGAATAATTATTTTAGATTTTTGTTGACATTTAGTAATATTGTTCGTGGATATTTGAAACTTTCAAAGTATATTATTATATTTTCTACACACAATGACATTTTAAAATGTAATGTTTTTGGCAAAAATTAATTCATCTTACTATATTAGTATTTAGTATTACTAATATTAAAATTCATTTCTTTGATTGTAGCAATAGTATTAATATCATAAAATATGCTTAGTAATATCGTTTTTCGTATGTAGTGATTTATCATTAAATTTAAATTTAACACATATTACAGCGGCTCAATAGACACCTAATTTACAGCAGTGAGGTACCCACTTACCCACCATTTTGGAATTATATTCAGAAATATTTTATCAAAATTATTTACGTATCTGCATTAAAGTACAATTAAATGCCTTAGGTACGAAATTATATTTTAAAAATTAACGTTAAAGTCACATAATTTGATGTATCTTAGTGAATGTTAATTTTAATTGGTATTCAACACTTAAACAGTTGTATTAAAAAATGTATGATATAAGTGCGTGACCATCATAGATAATAGTAGAAGATTTATTATCAATATTGACCTCCGTGTCAGTGTCTCCAAAATGGCCAACACATAGGCTTTGTGACGTATTTAATTCCGATCTCCAAGTACGAGCCGTATACAGTAGGTATATTTTAATATTTTTATCACAGATGATGTTATAATATTATCAAAAAGGCAGTAAACATATCACGTAAGCATAGGCGTGCGCACGGGGGCAGCAGAGGCAGCATATGCTGCCCCTGGACTTTCTTTGGGGCCACCGGGGCCGGCAAATATTAAATAATGGGCCTCGGTAAAATTATATTTCCACAAAATTTTTTTTTTGTTTTGATAAACTATAGATAAATATTTTATATAGGCTTGTAGAAAAGTACACCTTTAGTGGCTTAGTACCTTACTGTACAACCTTTTATCCAAAAAACAAATAACCAATACAATTTTAATTTTGATATTCAATAGTAAAAAAAGTAAAACTATGAGCTGGTTTTAATGGTGAATTTGAAAAATGGGCCGAATTAATCTCTTGCTGCCCCTGAAACCGGAGGCTGCGCACGCCTATGCACGTAAGCAGGTAAGCTTCAATGTGTCTTATGAAATATAAGTAAACAATTTAACGATTATGAAACAATATGAACGTATACAGCAAAAATGTATCAAGTATCAACTATAGGTAAGGTATAATAAATCTTATTTGTTGATTTTTCGTTGTTGTTACGTTTTTCTCATAATGGTTGTTTTTAAACATTACCATATAATTAATAACCGATGTACCTATGTATTACATAATATGATAATATCAAGTAGATATGTAAGTAATTAATGTACTTATATATCTGTAATTATTAATTACAAGCAACTAACAACTTATTAGTTAATATTTATAAATATATATAAGTAGGTTACAAGTCTTTTAATTGGTCCTTCACTCCTTCCTTTTGCAAGAGATTAAAACCTATTTAATCAGCACTAAAAACCTTATTCTTATTCTACATTATTCGGATGAAATCCATTGTAAATTGTTATCATAACGCTTACAAGACTCTGAGGATTAGATTGAACAACACAAACTACAAAATATGATAGAGTATAATATTATTATATACGAAGGAATCCGATCGACCATCGACGCGAAAACGGTTCAGCAACTGACCGGTGTAGACCACCACCTCTTTTATAATATCGTATAATAAATAATAACTGTGTACTCGTGTGACGAAATATTGATAAAAAATATTCTGGCAATAATACAATACTATGATACAACGCTGTAATAAAAAATCCGGAACGAGGTATGTGAACGAATTCGTTAACATAAAATACCGGTCCGTGAGGAGAACCGAACAAACTATGTGCTTGGCGGGCGGCGCATGGCTGGTCGGTCCGAGAGATGCGCACGCACGCGATCCACGACCACGTCTGTGGGAATATTAAATGGCCATTATCCGTGTGTTTTTATTACACTTCTGTTCTATGTCAACGACGACGACGATTTGGAACGATAATCGACGAATATCAGACGCTCGGTCATCGGGCAAGACGTGTTGCGGTACCCTCGGTATACCTGCTTTCTGTGTCGTGGTATATAATATGTCGTAGGTGGTTATTATTTCATACTGCGGCTACAACACTGACAAATACCTACACCTTCTATAATAGTTGTAGACGAAGTACCTGCTACAAGACTGCAACGACTGCAGCTACTGCAGTCTCGACCACCAGTTGCGTACTTGCGTCCTGCATCGACGGTCATCGTCAAGTCGTGCGCTCACACATACGCAACACACACACAGCATTATCATAATTATTAGGTAGGTACCTGTAATAATATTTGTCTATTATTAAATCGTATAATATATGTAGGTATATAGAAATTATCGACGCATGTCGAGTAAAGTACATAAATATAAGATATACCTATATAATATTGCATGGGTATTAAATAGCATATTGTACAGTCGTACAGAGTGTATCGGGGGGATAATCATACGATGATCTTACACTTAAATTGCATTTATTATATTAATATTATGTTTGTGATACACTTTGCACGTCATACAATATATGAAGGTCGTATACACAAATAACGTACTTACCTATATGTTTAAATATTGTTTTGATGTGATTGTGTATAATATTATGTAGGTAAACCGCGAAGTGAAAATAATGTTCAGCAGTAAGTGCACGAGTAAGGCCAGGCTGGATGGAAAAACTGCCATCGTCACCGGTTCGAACACGGGCATTGGCAAAGTCACTGCAAAAGAATTCTATAGACTAGGTGAGCACTGAACAAACACCTAACTATAATAATAATAGGTACTTACGTTATATAGATTAGATGCTGGCACAGTGGCACCCATCAATTTTGGAGCTGCCATACATCCCGGTGTGCCCGAGACTGTACCGGGTTTGACTATATTTCGTTTTTTAACTTCAATAATGTAATATGTTAAGAGGGCACCATGACCCCTGCGTTGTCTATACTTGTCTCCGTCCTACAAACGCATAACTTGGCAAATTTTACGTTCTGAAAAATGCATTTCAGTCTGTTATATTTAATTTTAGATGACCTAATACCAAATTTAAAAGTAAAAATATTATCTAATCAACGACACGGGTTTTTCAATATTTTAATTTTAAAGCGAGTTCTGAGAATTTTAAAATAGTAAAATCAAACGCAGCGGGAATGGTGTCGTCATAACATTTTGTCTGTTACTAAACATTTCAAGTAGAAAATCCACATTGTTTTGATAAATACTTAATAATTAAGTTAATTATTTGATTGACTGACGAAATCTATTTTTGAATTATTTTCCTGGGTGGGTATCGATAATATTACTAAAGAATACCTATTATGTTAGTTGTTTTCCTGTTCCAAAAGTTGTTCCTTAGTTACGAAAAAATAATTTGTTAAAAATGGTTGACCGTGGTACGATATTTTCATTTAAAATTATACAAAAAATGTTTGTCCCGGTTTTAGAGAAATAAAATATGGCAACCCTTCGGCCATTATGGTCACAGATATAGTTGAGGAGGAGGGCGAAACGTCGGCCGTTACGGCTTAAGTCCGAAATGTGGCTAATGTGCACGTTGGTCATTCTAATATTAAACGGCTCAAAAAGAGTCAAAATATTTTCAAAATTGTATGGTGTATAGGAAATGCTAATATAAACATTCAGTGAAATTTTCATGTATCTACAGTAATTCGTTTTTTAATTACAACAAAAAAAGGAAATTGCCACATGAGAAATCGAGTGAATATCCAATGTTGTAAAAATTTGAATTTCAAACGCTCATAAAAATTTAATTTGACTTTCCGGTAGAGATTTTTTTATTGATAAAGGTAGACAATCTTATGAGTAATCTTGTATTAGATTTTCAAATCTTAGATTTAAAAAGAAAAATTTTTACGAATTCTTAACTCAAAATAATTTGCTAATTTTCGTGATTTTTCCATATTTTGTCAATTTTTGAACTTTAAATGCTTATAAAAAAAAATTGTGACTAAGGATTTTTAATATTTTTCATCTGCCCTTGAAACAATATATTAGGAGCCTTCTATTAAATTTTCAAGCTTTCGCAACCAACAAATAAAATTTTATTGATATTTCTAGAAAAAAAACTAAAAAAAACTAAAAATGAAAATGTCCCTAAACTGTTCAAAATAAATCAAAATATTTTGAAAATGTTATCGTGTATAGAAGATGCAAATATAAACAACCAGTGAAAATTGCATGTACCTACGGTCATTTGTTTTAAAGTTACACCAAAAACCAAATTCAATTTTCTGAAAAATCGATTTTGCGTAAAAATTCCCGTTTTTCCTTAATTTTTCTTTTGTTTTTCCCGGCGCTCTTGAAAACTACTGGGAAATTTAAATTTTGACCTCCCCAATGCACCAACGATATTCTCTTTCCAATCGAACAAGATACTGAAGTCGAAAATCGAAGCATTATTTCGACTACTTATCGTGTACACAGATACAAAAAAAATAAAAAAATAAATAAATAAACACACATCATTGTAAAATCAATACATTCATCGTTTCACTCAGAATCTAAAAGTTACTAATAAACACGAAATCATACAATATGTTAACTGCGCTCGAGTTCTTATCAAGTGTAAAAAAGTGATATGTAAACTGCGCCGAGTTTTTATCAAATGTAAAAATGTAACATATGTTACATATGTAAACTACGCCCGGCTAAACTTTTAAAATTGAATAGCTATATGTTCGCAAAATTAAACAAAATTACAAAATTTCTAATCTAAAGTTACAATCTTTAATTTATATTTAATTCGTTACAGCCATAGGTATTATAGTAGGTATAAATAATTAATAGAATAAAATTAAAAATTAAAAATATATATAATCTCAAAAAGTACAATATTAGCTAAATAAAACATATTTTTGATACATATACCTATTCATCAATTGGAGTTTGACCAATTAACTAATTTTTGTAACGTTTTTCGTTTATTTTTTGTTTTAGAATTTCGGTATTTAAAGAGGTTATTTATACTATTTAGTTAAATATATTATATTTCTATTAAATCTATTTGAACTTCATTTAACTTTTCTAAGAACATGAAAATATTTGAATGAGTAGTATAAAAGATAGAATTAAAGTGAGAATGAAATGACTAGCTTGCATTAGTGGTTACTGGTTAAAGTTAACTCTGCTCATGCTCGAGCCCATATTTCATACTGAGCTTCTTTACTTATATTTACCTATATCTACCAAATAAATTCGGGCGCAGTTTACATTATACCTTTTTAACATAGATAAATATTTGGGTGCAGTTTACGTATGCCCATATTCTTTAATCCATATTTAACATATAGGTACTTTACAGTGACTTGTACTTTCCGGTACACACTCAACACCTATAAGTGGCTATTACTGTCCAGCAGAGTTTACCAACTTTTGTTCTTTGTATCAAAAAATAAAAATTCACACTTTAAGATCCAACTTACAACCTAGCAAAATGGTATACAATAAACGTGTTTATTTTTTCCTTACTGTAATGTTAACCGAAAAATCATTTAGTTACATAATTAAACTTTAATTATTATTTTTGTTCATGGTATACTATTCCAGAGTTAGAGATCAACTAATAATTACGTGACCTGCAGGTACAAATGTACTGCACATTGTATCGAACTTAAAAGTTGTATATTGTGTATAAACAATGTGTTCAGTGAAGTGAAGTGTCCGGCCGGCGCCATATGATAGTATACCTTAAGTTATGAAAACAACTCCTTTAAAGGGTGGGTCTAACTTTTTATTTTAATATGGGCAGTTTAAAATTGTTTAAACAAACCGAACCTACCGCACATTTTCTGGTGTATCTTCAAAACTTTTCAACTTTTTATAGTAATTTTTTTTATTTTAAAGCTATTTTGCTGTGGTATCAACTAACACACACAACCAAACCAGAAATGTACAAATTATTTTTATTAAATTAAAAAAAGTAGAATAGTAAAATAATAAAATTAAAATAAAAACTATATAGGTAGTTATAATAGGTAAATACGGCGTTATTTGGAGTTCATGCCGGCTGGTCACTTCTTCACGGGATATATACTATATACTTATAGTATGTAATTAAATAGTGTTAAGGTAATAACACTAATAACTAATATTATACAAGTATAAAATGGGGATGTAAATATTTATGTCAGCATTATATGTTTAGTTGTTGTCGTACGTACTATAGTAACCGCCAAGCTAAGTTAATTTATTTGTATTCAATTATCGCACTTCATCAAATACAAACAATAATTATAAAGAATTTATATACTAATGAATTTAAGAAATTACTTAGCTCCTTTTTGGTATCACAACTTCTCTAAATTGAGTTTTTTTTTCTTAGTGAGGTTTTTTGCAGATTGTGTTTTTGTTGAGATACATATAACAATATAAAACAAAATAAAAATCTTTTTACTTAGGTCTTTTATACAATTATACCCTGCATTATTCGTAAACATAATAAACAAAATCAAACATATAGTACAATTATAATCATAATATGTACCTAGTTTCAGTTATATTAATATTTAAAACGATAATTTCAGGTGCGAGGGTCATATTGGCGTGCAGGGACGTTAAAAAAGCAGAACAAGCCGTGGAGGAAATCGTGGCTGAAGTACAGGGCGACGGTGTCGGGCAACTGGTCATAGAATCATTAGATTTGGCATCATTCGCTTCTATTAAACTCTGTGCGAAAAGTATTTTACAAAAAGAAAAACATATTCACCTGTTGGTGAACAATGCCGGTCAGTTCAATGCACGATGCGTGTTTCACAAAGTTATATTTGTATATAAATCGTATAATAGGACTTACGAAATGTAACTTGAATGAATACTGTAGGTGTTATGACGTGCCCTAAGGGTAAGACCCAAGACGGTTTTGAAACCCAGTTCGGCGTCAATTACTTGGGACACTTTCTGTTCACAATGCTTCTGTTGCCAAGAATCCGAAGTTCAACTCCAGCTCGCATTGTAAACGTGGCGTCTTTGGCACATGTATGTAAGTTACACGACATTCTCGATACAATATCGTATAATAACCTTAACAGATCCAACTTATCCAAAGATAATATTTCAAGGATTTTAGGGGGAGGAGTGACCGGGTGACTTATATTTTTTAATCAAGCTATATATACTGAACATTCAAAAGGAACTTCAAAAGTCAAATAAATTCAAATAACCGCGCCCCCTAACAATGTTTTAAACAATTTTGTTCCTTTTAACATAATATTATTTTCTATTGTGCAATGAAAAATAATACCTACGTAAAATATGTTAACGACGGTAATAACTAATAATCAAGCGTAATGGGTATTTCAGCAAAAAATCAAAATTGAGTTCAACTTCATTGTATAATATATTATGTTTTAAAAAATAAAATAATTACATTTCCCAGATGAGACGGGTCGAGCCAGAGATAAACCCTATGTTCTCCAAAAATAGACCAAAATAGAATCCAATTTTAAATTAACAACAAAATAGTTTCGATATTCCATGGTACCTATAAAATATAGTGCGTGTAATATAGGTAACTCCACAGTCCACACTCGTAAAGAAATAAAAATTGACTTTTTCGGTGGGCTAGAGATTTTTTAAATAGGGTTAAGCTCGCGTAAACGGATCACTAAATAGTAATTATTGTTTTCCTTTAGTCGGTTCAATCAATTTCAAAGACATCAATCACGACGCAAATTATTCACCCGCCACAGCTTACAGTCAAAGTAAGCTGGCCAACGTGTTGTTTTCAAAAGAACTGTCGCGAAAACTAGAAGGTAATTAAACTTTCGTACAATCTCTTACATTTATAATGCATTATACATATAACATATTACAATATGTCCGACAACAAGTGTTCAGGTAATTTCCATATTATACGATACATGGCATACGTGATGTATAATCAATTTATTTATTATAATAGGTACCGGAGTTCACGTGTACAGCTTACATCCCGGCATCGTACGCACCGAATTGACTAGAACACTGGACCAAGTATACTTTCCGGGTATGTGGTTCTTGGGTCGTATCTTCCTCTATCCGTGGGTCAAGAATCCGAAGCAAGGAGCTCAGACCACTTTATACTGTTCGCTTGACGAAAAATCCGGAACGGAAACTGGACTTTATTACAGGTATTTAATTAAGGCTATCGCAGGACTTAAGAGAAATTCAAATCTTTATACTTATATGATTTGTACATTTATAAATATAATATAAAACTTATTATTTTTTTTCTAGCGATTGTAAGGTGAAAGAACCGTCCGCGGCAGCCAGAGACCCAGAGTTGGCGAAAAAACTTTGGGAAACAAGCATAGAAATGGTCGGCTTGAAGGATTACGACATGTTCAACTGCAGCGGAGACGCGCTTCCTGAACCTTTAAAAGACGTCTGAACGAAAATTTCTTGTCGTTTTTAGCAATAATAATATAAATAGTTTCGTTTTGTTTTTTTTTTAATTGGTTTTTAAACATAATTTTTAATCTATTTATATTTTTTATAATAAAGAAACTGTTTTTATCGAACATAATATTGTACCTGTTGTATATTATTGCAACAACGGAGTTCTATTTAAAAACACATTCGTTGATTACGAGCTTACAATATAGGTTATAAGTAGTTATCTTACCCCCCCCCAGCGGTATTGAGAAAGACTGCTTTTGCACTCCTTCCCCTACCGTCGCAATCGTTTATTCTGAAAACAAAACTACTATAACATTTATTTTAAATACTCAGCGAGGTACACATCTGGCCTTCGACTCACAGATAATAATTATTTTACAATTAACAAACAATTAGCGATTAGTCCGTCTTCTTCGTTCATTCTTTAAATATACAGAGTAGTTACCGATCTACCTATTGGTATTTGCATGGACATTGAACATTTGAAAGTAAATACATTACGCGAACTAGCGTAACAGCTTCGTAGACATTATTTTACCACCTATAATATATACATTTCTTAGAAGACATTGGTGTACATAAATTAATAATTATTATAAAAGTATTAAAATAACTAATAATTATTGTTGGCTCAGTTAGTCCATGGGGAGGGGGGGCAGTTCTAAAATACCTCATTAAAGGTAGGTAATTACTTTTAATAGATTAATTATTATAATTGCTATAAATGAAATAAAACCCATTGATATTAAACTCATAATCAATTATAATTATTACTATGTTTAATATCAATAATAAAATCTTATATTATACCGAATAGAAAAAGCTACCTATCTATTGGTATTAATACTGTATTAATATTCGCCATTCGGTTTAATATTTTTGAACGAAAATTGTATAGTCTGAGACTATAATATAGATCATAGTTGTTGTACACTTGTAATTTGTATACACTATATAATATTATGTATACGAAGTTTAAAAAAATTGTTTGTACCAAAAGTTTTTCAACTAGTTTTTTTTTTTTTGATAAATAGGCAGTATTTTTTTAGAAACTCCTATTTAATTTTCTAATTATATAATCTTAGAGGGGTCAATGAGTACGATTTCCTACGTTTTTGTCACTTTCAGCAATCTGAATAATTAACACACTCTAATACTCTATTATAAAAAATAATCCATCAAACAAAATAAATTAGGTAGGTTTATTTTTTGATTGTAACATCGTTTCGGTTTTTGCTTCGTAAACCGTTGCTACTTGTTGAGTGATTAATTAATTATAATTAAACTATTTATGAGTGTGTGGAGCGTCCTCTTACCTAACCACATAAAATTGAATCTTCCGGACCCAAATTCGCAACGATCGTAAGACATGCCTACACGAGGCCACGAGGGTGGGTTACATCGTATGCGTGAGGTTGTTATATTTAGTAAACGACGTTGATCGTGTGAGGTCGTTATATTTAGTAAACGACGTTGATCGTGTGAGGTACTGAGGTCGACAGTTTCTATTAAACAATTAATTCTTTCAAATGGTCAATGATACAATTTATATTAGAAACTACGACTACCTATTACTCGTATCTATGGTCAGCGGCGATAAAGCGGCCTAGTGTTACATGCGGCCCTTCAGGGATCCAAAAGCTTGTTGCACTTTTACAATAAAATGTAGTCAATTTTAAACATAAATCAATTGTAATTTATTAAAACCAATAATAATTAATATAGTCGTGGTGAATTGCAGCGTCGTGAGTTGACTCGTTGTAGTAGTCGATAATCTCCATGTAAGTCGTGTGTAATGGCTGGTGGCTAAACGGCTCGCTCGGTCTTGGCGGCTCTGGTACATCTACCTTGGCTGTCTCGCTGTCCCCTATATATATGGTGGCGGCGTCCTTTGAAGTGAGCGGCGCGTGTACAGTCGTCCTTGATATGGACCTCACGAGTCACGACTATGAAAGTGGTATTCTTTAGTCGAAAACACTTTTGGGTGTGGTCGCATTCCTGGTTGTTATTTTGAGCAAATATATGATATTGCGTAATCCCAATTCTGGTTGTTATTATGAGCAAATACATGATATTGCGTAATCCCATTACACCTCCCTACCAAAAAAAAGATTGTTAACCTTTAAGGGTTAAGAATCTTTAACATCGTTAATTAATAGTTTACAATGGCTGAATTACATTGTTTACATTGACATTTAAATTTGTATACAGTTAACAATTTGATTACAGTATTACATTTGATTACAATAATGTGAACATTTTACAATTTTTTAATGTCATCATTATTATTATATTGTTTTTCATATTACAATTTTAATTGTGGTTAGTAAAATAAATTAATACATGATTTAATTAAACAAATAGTGTTAATAAGAATGATTAATAATCTTTAATAAAATAATATATGTACCTGAAATTATAACATCATAAGCGTTACGTAAGTATAAAATTCAAGTATTTCCCCTTTTATATAATAATAATATTTATCTTCCACCTATATACTAATCTTATGTGAATAATTGTTAGATTTGCCATAGACATATGCAACTATAGATTTATTTAAGGTAATTCATTATGTAATTGGATATATATTAAATGTTAATTTATTTATTTGTTTTCATTGTTTAATTTATTTTGTGTTAGATTTATTATTAATTATAATAATTTATTCATTTTTGCTTTAAAATTCCATAATTATTATTATTTTTTTTTTTGCTAATTTATATAGTTTAATGGGCTTTATCTTTGTTACTATGTAATTGAATAGGCATTTCGTTAAAATTACGTCGGCAACTGGATCGTGACAATGTGTAATATTATGATTAATATCGCATGCTAGTTCATGAGCTTCTGATAGTCCTAACATTCTACCATTTTTATTTAATTTACCTAAATAACCTGAATATAAAACTTCCTTAGTCTCTAGGTTTGATAATTCTAATATAAATTCGTCATTATTCCTAACGCTAATTGCCGATATGTTTAAATATGCTAAAATTCCTGTTAATCTTAAACGCTTAATTATCGTGATATCTGACGTTCCGTTCCAAAATACTATTAGCGGCTCCCTATCGTTTATATGCAAATATCTTTGCAAGTATACCGTAGACAAGGTTGATCCCCCCTGGTGACTTATATTTTTGTATAATTGTTCCAGCAATGGTTTAATCACTCTTGCCTTTTTCCCTCGGAATACTCGTTTGATATTCTGCACTGTTTTCTTTAGGTCGCATCGGCGGAATCTTCTTAACTTATCATCCTTTGTAAGTATAAGAGGACTCCCCTCCAATTTCTTGGGTTGGTATTTTTCTAAACTATTCGATATCGCGCCGGATACCAGTATCGTTTCGTTCTTACTGGCGGTAAAGAACTCGAAATCCATTATAAAAAAGCGTATCTGTGAGCTAAAATAAAATAATAATTATTTTTTTTTTTAAAAAAAAAACTTAAATTGGTTTTTTAGTATTTATTGCTATGTATATGATATATGATATATGATACATGATATATGATATTTGATATATGATATATGTCTCCTGAGGTTATTCTTCGAAAATCGTTTCGATGATCACACGTCTCATGATTAGTTGTTCTATTAGTAAACCCAACTCTACACACATGGGTCGATTATGATTTGGTCTTACGATAACCGCGCGTACAAAGTCATTAACATGGATCATAACTCGTGCTAAGATATTTGGCCTGAAAGGTATGGTCATGTTATTATTCGCCCTTCTTATGTGTTCCGGGAAGCAATGTAATCTGACTACTTCCCCTCGCTTTATCTGTGTATGATCGGTTGATTCAATTAATTCGTTTTTTAACTCTCTGAGAAATTAAAATGTTTGTAGTTGCATTCGAACGGTTCGTGCTACAGGTGGTACGTTCTTACCCATTTTATATTTTAAAATTTCTACGTGTTTTTTTTTTATTAATTTTTTGTTTTTCTTCTTAATTTCTGAAATAGTTAAAAGTTATTGTTATATAATTATAGAATATTATTTTACGTATATATATATTTTTATGCACGTAATATTATTTTATTTTATTTCATAGAATATTGTTATACGTATTATTTCTTTTATGCACGTAATAATGTTTTATTTTATTATTTACTTTCATTTATTCTTTATTTATTTAAATTATATTATTATTATTCGTTTTCCTCTTGGTATTTCCTGAAGCACAACTATTATTATTATATATCTATAATTTACATGATATATTAATTCCATTTATCCTTATTATCTGCTTATTGCTTATTTTATATTTATAACTTAGTATTTATTATTTTTATTAATATGTTACGTATTTATTTTCGTTTTGTATGTTATATTATTTTTTTGTATAATTTATTTATTATTAATTAAATTTAAAGTAAATAATTCGTTATGACTAGTGACTAGTGACTACTCTTAATAAATTTTTATTCTATTTATCTTGGCGACGGTGGTGGAGTAAAGGGTGTCTCTTCATAATTTCGTACGTATTCATTTCTATTGGGTGTCCTATATCTAACTATTCTGACGGGTAATTCCATGACTTCTGTGATCCTGATATACTTGTATTTTATCATTATATAAATTGCTATTATTAGTATAATAGATATTGATGCTAGTACTATAACAATTTACTGTGTACAAATTATATTTATATTAAACTAAAATATCTTATTATATTCTTATAAAATTAAAACCATCTTACATAATCCGATATATCTCTAGTATCGTGCAAATATCTCATATAATCTATTAATCGTTTACATGTGGGTGTCACTGGATCTGATGACATAATTAGAGTTAGAATTCGCGTAATTTTCGTTATTTCGAGAGTATTAAATGGTTCTTCCATAAAATTATTCGCGGTATTAATATGTCCTATTAAACACCTCGGCGTGTGTTCCGGTCCTAAAGTATTTGTTTCATGGATTTCTTGTTCAATCGCCTTTCCTAGTTCCACAATGAATTTTCTTTGTCTGTTCCTAAAATTAAA